CTTATACCAATTAGAATAGCATAAAATCTTAGCTAATAATCCATATTTTAATTGTAAACAAGTTTTAAGTTATTATTTCTACAAGACAATAAAAAAAAATCCAGATTTTCCACTAGTGTGACCCGTGTGACATTTTCTCTTAGCACGTCATCATCCCTATTTTATCCATCACCCCTTAAAAAAGGTGTAAAATTAAACAAATTACTCTATAAAATCGTTATTGTTCAGACAAACCATAATTTTTGTAGTCTTCAATTTTGTTTTGTTACAGAGCTATCGGATAGAAAATTAGACCCCTCCTATCACATCTTTTCTTTCAGAATTTGTTGATAGTTCTCTCTTACATTTCATTATATATTACCTACAACCAACAGAAAGTCAAGGTTTTCATCTATCTATCTATAACATTATGTTCTGAACAGTTAGCAGTCAATTTCACTCAGAGTAACAACATTGTTCCCATGGGAAAGTTAACGACTAGCATGAATGAATTTGTAATGGCTCTTGTTGCATATTAAGATTAGATTAGCTAAAATTAATAATATTATAATAAAAATGTTTCACTAGGCACACAAATGAGCAGCTTGTGGGTAATGTAATTCAATAGTGTAATGTGAGCTGCACATTCTCCAAGTGATTAACAATTTATAATGTTGCAGACAGTAGTGAAACACGATTCAAAGATCAATAAAACAATAAAATTTAATTATAAATAGAAGTATACTGTCATGAACTTAGAGCTACTTATGATAAACGAATGTAGTTTCATGTTACAATCTGAAGTCATTCTAGAAAGAAACAAAGGGTAATTTAGGTATATTTCGATTTTGTTTTCTTGGGTGGTTAGAAGGTCAGTCGAATTGACTGATCCCATTTTGAGATAGGGTAGAGAAAATAACAGATAAACTTTTAAGTTTTACTGAAAAACAAATGTTTAAAATGAATTTAGGAAGTTTTAGGAATTACACAAAGGAAATTTGAGATTTTTAAGATGAAGAAAATTATTTTAATTTTAACATGAAAATTACTTTGCACACGGACTATTCAAAACAAATACTCAATATATTCATGGACAAATCTTTTATTATATTAAAAATGCTTCACTAAAAAAAATGATTTTTTGTATGTGAAAGACTTGTAATGTTAACTGAAAGACTGCCAAATTTTGTGAAGATATACACACTATATTGAGAGTTATAAGTATTACATCTATAAAGACTTTAAACAAGTAGAAAGAGGTCACGAGCTCATGTTGAGAGAGTTAAACGAAGGCTTGATAGATATTTGAATGATAATGGCTGGCTTTGAGTGTTTAATATTTATTTCAGTTTAGTATAGTGGATAGGTTGGGTTAGATGGATGACTGGTATAGATGTACATGATTATATCAAACAAGTAAGACACCATGGACAAAAAGAAGCCCTAAATGACCAATACATATGTACATAATTAAGTCAGGAAAATGTATCACAGATGAAGAGTAAAAAATATATATATGAATGCATGATTAGCTCAGAAATGTCACAAAAACTTGAACACAGACTTGACCAATGAAGACATGCATCATCAGCTGAAGCAAGTAACATACCATGAACACATACTTGACAAATACTAACATGCAACACACTAAGAACATACACAAATAGGATCAAATTACTTAATATATACTCACATGACTAACACATACTTCTTGCTTTATCTTCTGTAACCACTTAGTCTTTTCATCTTTACATAATGCCATCAAAACATGGCCTGTTTTACAGAAAAACAAAAAACCAGTTAACATTCCAATATGATGAACAAATATTTACACAATCAAGAAGCAATACTACTGCAATACATTATACTAAAAACATAGCATTTATTATTATACTATGTGCAACTGTATTAAATAACACTGACCATAAACAAAATATTTTTATATTTATTAAGGAAATACAGATGTCAAGGTATAATCTTTTTTGATGCTCATAAATTACAGGTGACTGTCCAGATTTGTTTAAGAATTTTTATTGAAGAATTCAAAATATAATTAAACCTTAATATACACACACAGGCTTTTTAACATGGCATCCAAGAAATTTCAGTTCATTGGGAAGGATGTTGTTTTAGAGAATAATCTTTGAATTAATGATAGAAATACTTAACATCTGACTGATAAGAAATGCCAGTGTTTGTTGGGACACAGAGATTTATTAAATCTTTTATATAAAAATGTATGAACAGAAACCATCAGTTAAAGCATAAAGAATTAATAATCTTTGATATGTTACTGTATTGAGATAAAAAAACGTTGGTAAAAACTTGCACATGTAGGTATAACCAGAAAGAGATAATAAAGCATATATGTATGATAAAGTTAATCAATATCAATACAAAGCTACATTACCAGTTGCACAAAGCATGAGATAAATCTAACCAACAAAATTCAGTATAATCTGTATCTGTTAAAATAGAATTGAAAATTTAACATGAAAATTACCTGTTACACTTAGACGCATTAAACCTTGCTGATAAAACCTTGTGAACAATTTCTGTTTATTCCCCAGCTGCATAAACCACATTTGCTGAACTAGGCTTCCTGGTTTAAAAGTGTATGCCGTAAGATACAGAGCAGCACTGGTACGACATGCTTCTTTCCAGTTTCCCTGTTCCTTTTAAAATATGAAAATTTATCACAACCACTTCTTTTGCTAATGAATTAAATTTTTTAATTTTCCAAAAAGAACCACAACAATGATACATGAATACACATTTCTAAAAAGCAAGCTTTACATATGAATTTTTCTTCACTCAATGGCACTTTGGTTACTTTCTCTCTAGGTAATGTCCTTTGGCAGATGTCACATGACCTGCAGAATCTTGTCACATCTCCAATTATTCCCAGCCAATGGAAATTACTGGTGATTCTGTTTACCCTTTTCTTTGTTCCTAGATGTCCTCCCACAATTGGTTCATGAGCCAACTTCATCACTTCAGTCCAGCATTCTGTTGGTACTATGATCTGTTTAACTTCCCCAGTATAACTGCCTTGATAGATTCTGTATAGAACTTCCTTCTGATCCTCTATTCTGTAGGTATCTTTCCCCTTTATTTTGTGCTCAACTTTCTTCTGGGAACTGTCCCAAAGTTTCTGCAGTAAATGGTCTTTCTTCTGTGCTTCCTTCAGTTCCTGCAAACCTAAATTCCAGATATAGCCTTTTGACACTTGCAGTGGCTTGATGTCTTATTTGCTCTTCTTTTCTTGAGCTCTGGTGGTGACAGCAGATACTTCATCAATCTTCTTTCTGTCTAGTTCCTCAGAGTTTCTACTACCTAGCATGTTTCCTATCACCAAGTCGTGTATTGGTTCCTTGATACACATGGCCTCAAGTTCTCCTACATAATATGGAGTATCCACCTTTATTTTTGATATGGGAAATTTTCTCACTGTCCCATCAATTAGCACACACACAAAACCATAACTTGCCTGTCATATGATCGCTGGATACTAAACTGGTTCTCACTGCTGCACTACTGCACCCAGTGTCTCATAGAACCTTCACTTACTTGTCCCCAACATTGCCTTCACATATTGACATATTATGATTTGTTGGCATCTCTTAATATCTGTCACAAGCTCCCATCACTATTGGTACTGTTGATCCATTTGCTAATTTGAGTCGACCATTAGTCCTGCACTGATCAATCACATTTTCTTGTGTTGAATTTGACTATTCATGATTCTCTTTCTTCTGGCAGCAGCATCCATAATGCCAGTCACTCTTTTCTTGTTTCTTGTTGAATTTATCACTAACAAGTCACAGACACCTACTGTAGAATAATCATTAGCCCAACAACAACATATGTATTTATACTATTAAGTAAAAGCCACTTTATTTCGCCAACTGGGAAAAAGAATATATATATATATTATTTTAAAAATATAATAATTATACATCCCAGAGTTTCACATTAAAATAACCTTCAAGTTGCTCTTTCAGTCCTAATTACTGTCATATAATTTTCAATAAAATATATATTTTGTCTACATTTTGCTTCAATACAACACTACATCATCATAACGTTTCCTGCATTGTTATGGGTTGAATGTTTTGTCTCATTTTACAAAATTCATCACACAGCATGGGACTTGGATATAGCGCCATTTATTTTTTCAAACTTAAGAACTACCCAACAAATAGTACCTTATAACAGGAGAAGAAGGAAAAATTCATGAGTAAATCAATGAAATGTAGAAAATTTTATATTGTTACTATAGTTAGAAATTAATAAATCAGAAAATTAAGAATTCTGTTTTTATGTTTTGTGGAAAAATACAAGTGGACTCTGTTTCTTCAGTGAGGAAATACAAGAGGATCCAATTTTTTCCAAGTGGTTGCATCCCCAGAACTAAGAAAATTCACTTACTGGTATGAACACTGATCTCATAGTTTATGACACTGTCATTATCTTACCTCTTACTTTGCAAGTTTATGTATAACCTGTATTACTGTTACTGATTTTAAAGATTCTCTACAGTAAACTAATTTCAACAATATTTCAGACAAAGGTATATAATTTTTAACATAATGTTGCTACAATAGATTTTTATGAATGCAACTTTTCATGTGACAATATATATATATGTAATATTTTTGAAATTCAATTGGAATTATTTGTTATGAGTAATTATAAGAAGTGTGTATTTTCATTACACACCAAAGCTTTTATTAAAAAACAAAATAATAAAATTTATTAACCTAAAAAAAAATCCTCAAAACAAACTATCGTGATAACTAAGGATAAACCCCTCTAATTTTTCAATTACAGCAAAACTGCTCAAATTACTTACTAAAATATTCATATGCTCAGAACATTATATCACACTTTTCTGAAACACATGCTACGCTAATTTTTCTATTTATCACAATTACTGATGAAGTTAGAAATGTTAAAAAAAATTTAAATATTCTTTACTGAATTAAATATGTTCTGGTTTTTCTTTTTTTTTCACAACCACAGGTGTTTATTAAACTTAGAATAACTTTCCAATCTTATAATAAAGTGTTACATATCTTTCATTCACTTATTCAATAATATCTTGAGTGTAGAAAAAATAGAAACCTCATAAAACAATTATGCAACATGGGGTATCAATCAAACTGACCAACATTTAATTAAAACCAAGTCAAGACTTTATTTTATGCAAATTCATTCAAGTGTAAGATATTCAACAACTTTCCAAAGCAAGTTTGAAAGTATTTAAAAAGAATATCAACTTAAAACCTGTAATAATACCTTTTTTGCTCGTTTCAAGAGTAAGGTGCCTAAATGGAAATAAAGCTGTCCACTCATATGATGTAAAACATAATTCCAAGAACCATCACTAGGGCCCGATATCTTCCATGCACGATCTAGTTCCTGATCAAACCTGGTGGAGTAACAATTTCTTTAGCTCAAACCTTTTAAGTTAAATCTTTATCTCAGACAATCATATTTAAGATGAATGAAGAACAAATCTGCTACATTGTCATGAAATATAAAATACTATCAAATTTTAAAAATGCACGATATATACATTTACACAAATTTTACATTAGGATACACACTTTAAAATCCATATAACTGTGGAAATTTCAGCTTTTAATTAAAACTTCCATTATATTAAGCAATATAATTTACAAAAAAATTTAGTCTTAGTATAAAAAGAAACATTTTTATAGTTTTTTAACCATTCTGAGTTTCTCAAATAAACATTTAAGTCACATTTGCCTTCCTAAGCTTTGGTTTAACATAATTCATACATTTTTTTTCCATTTAACCAATTTATGTGTGTGAGGAAAATAATTGATTTTTCAATATCCAAGTTGTAAGTTTCTTATAGAAGATAAAATTTGCAGAAGTTGAAGCCAGTGATTAAAACTTAATGATATATTGTATTTATCTCCAACAATTTTCAATCAAAATTACATATCAAAAGCTGAAGCCACATCTCCGACACTGTGCAACTGTCTATTGTTACAGTCTTCAATGGTGATACAATCTAAGATATGGGGCTCAGCCAGTGTAAGGGCAACCAAATGCTCCAAAACAGCAAGATAGTTGATATGAAAGTCTATGTCTACTCTGTTACCCATCTCTCCCAGGTAAGTCTGAAACAAAAGATAAGATTTAACAAAGATTTAAATAAAAAGGCTAAAATTAATTACTACCTTTCTTTTCATAAGTATTTAAACACAATAGTAAACAATTTTTAGTAATCATGTAAAGATATTCTTAATTATTACTTAATTTACCTTAAATAATTCGAATTAAAGAATACTTTTTTCTAGTTTGTGTTATGAGCAGCAGTAATGCTAATATATCTTTACAACAGTTTGAAAATACAGATGTAACTTTCTCACTTCAGGCTTGGTCAAATCAGATGAGTTTGTGGCCCCAAATTGACCTTTATAGTTCCCATACTATAATTTCTAATATGTTTCGTGTCATATTTACATAATTTTGCAAGCTTTCAGTAATCGTTAAGTCATTTGTAGAAAAAAAATCAGAATTTTTAATGAAGTATTTTCACTAAAAATTTCTCCATGAATATATGGAGTCAAAGTGTTGACTGCTCCAAGTGCAAAGTGATTTTCATGTTAATAAAAATACTTTTCTTCATCTGAAAAATCTCAAATTTCATTTGCATAATCTATAAAATATCCTAAATGAATACCAAACATTTCGTTTCAGCAAAACTTTACATTTAATCTGTTATTTTCTCTACCGTCTTTATACGGACTTGGTCAATTTGACTGACCTTGTAACCACCACATAAAATATGAAATAAATCTAAATTACTATATTTTTCCTTTCTAGAATGACTTCAAATTGTAACACAATACTACATGTTTTTCTCCTAAATGGTTTTAAACTCACAACAGTATATATCTGTTTATGCTTAAATTTTACTATTTTTATGTCCTTTGAACACAAGTTGTAAACCACTTGGCAAAAGTGTAGCTCATGTTACCCTATCAAATAATAATGCTCACAAGCATACCTTGTGAAAAATGATTACTATTATTATTATTATTTTATCAAATCTAATTTTATATAACCTAAAAAGATTTAATTTTTTATATTTTAGTTACTTTTATAATGATAAATAAAAATACACATGAAAAACAAGAAATAAAGTACTTATCTGGGTTGTCTCCTTTTTTTCTGTCAACATTTGATGACACTTAACCCTACTTTTTTTTATACTAATGGTACTACTGCACTAAATACTTTTTTATTTAATTAAATAATTCACCAAAGAACTCAGAATAATAACTTATAAAAATCATACAATGTCCTATAACTATCACAATTTTTCTGGCTTTTTAACTATGAAACAAGAGCTATTAAAAATTCATCTAAGGTCGCCAATGTGTTTACTGTGAGAATATTTCATTTATTTTTATAACCAGGTAATAATTCAAGAGTAAGATATTCCAACAACTTTTGGAAGATAATCTGAAAGTGTTTAATTAGAGCATCAAATTAAAGCCTATAAATAATAATAACTTTTTTCTTGTTTAAAAAGTAAGGTGCCTAAATGGATATATAGCTGTCCATTCATGTGATGTAACACATAATTCCAAGAACCATCACTAGAGCCTGATAACATTCTTGGATGAAGATAAAGGTACGCATCTTATTCAACTTCAGATGAATACCAACTGAACTCACATGATATAACAGCTAGTGCTAATTCACTTGGTATTATGTTAATTATGCATTCTTATGAATGTAAATGGAAGAGTGACCAGATGGGCAAAGCTAAAAATACTAGCAATGTGCTTGAAAAAATAGTTTCACTACAAGAAAATGCTGTACCATTTCTATTCATAAAATTCAACTATCTAAATATATATTTTTATAGCCTGTTCATTAAATTATGTTAACAAATTGCACAAAAAGTATTATGATCCACAACAATACATCATCAGGTCAGACCTGATAAAGATAAACAAGAGATTTATATTGTGAAATCAAGTTTCTAAAAAATAAGCATTTACCAAGCATAATGCTTCCATACACAACAGATTTTATTGTCAACTGTTTGAAAATGTAGTTTCCCCTTTACTCATCTAATTACATTCAAATTAAGCCAGAATCTTCCAATAACTTGGAAGAAGTTTTATGATGTATTAGTTACCAAACAAAAAAATTAAAAATATGGGCACAACTTAGTCAGATAACCAACTAGATTTCAAGAATATACTATTGTCTAGAAGAATGTTGACTTTGATTATTAAAAGTAGCCATTCCAAGCATTAAATATTATTAAAAATGTCTAAAAATTGTTTGATATTAATGATATTCCAGGTCTTTCTAAATGTCTAAGAAAGTTACTGTCCAAAAACTCAGGATTAGATCATGCTGACAGAAAGATAAATTATTTTATAGAATTGAAGCAAATACTAAAATTGATCGGACATGCATGTAGCAAAACAAAAGACAACCTTGGAGAGAGAAAGAGAGAAACTAAACATTTGCTTTCAGAAATTAAGATAGTCCCTAGTGAAAATAACATTTCAAAGACATTGATACAAATGTATAAGCAAAGGAAGCTGTTTCAAAATGTCATATGTTTTTATTATCAAAACATGCCTTTTAAAACATAACATAAATTATTATATAGAGCTTCCGTAGACTTTCTTTTAGCTATTAGCCAAAAGCAAGAATTCAAGCCTTTGGGAAACCTACAATGAGAAAGTTTAAATGCTTAAATCACAGTCAATATACATAACATTTTTTAAAAACCAGCTGCAATAAGTTAACTATTAATACTTATTTCTTACCTCAAACACATCAGATAGAAAGTAATACCAAGTCACATTTGTTGGAAAGGGGCATTTGCTTTCCACCTTTGTTGCATGACTGTATGCATCTTGAACTCTTTCTGTATCCATATAGAGTTTCAACAATTTTATTCTCAAGTTTACATCTCTTGGACGTGCTGCCTATAAGCAGTAAAAAGACATTTTACACACACCTAAAGGAAAAAGTACTGAAACATGTACACATGCATAGTGATAACTATTTCTGTCATGGTAATAAACTAAAGATGCTTATTCTTATGAATATTTAAAGAATATAGTTTACAAATATGAAAATACTATTAAATTTCCTGACAATGAACACACATCATTATAAAATTTAAAAAATCAAATTAATAACAGAACAAAAGGAATCATACATCAAACAGATGCTGAATAAATAAACTACCAGAACATTTATAAAGGAAACAAAAATGTTATTTTAAATATGTAACAAATTGCTCACCAGTTCTGAAGCTATCAAATCTTCTAATTCTTGCATGTTGGGCTCTCCTTCAGCTGTGACTATACATTCCTTTTCAAGTAAACAATTTAAAATTAACATTCTACTTCATAATTAAGTTTAGTAAATTTAAACTGACATTGTTATATTACTCCACTGTATTAAGCTGCTACTAATTCAAAAGCTATACATCACATCATAAAATCACAAGATTAAATACATTTTACATCCAGCATATGTTTTTATAATGAATCTATAATATAAATTTAAAACAATACATGTATCTACCCACTATCTAACACTTAGTCAAACTCTTTTTGATCAGCTTGTAAATAATTTGATCAAAATAAACATTATCTCAAAATTCAATACTGTTTCTCCACTAACATTTAGATATTGTTACGCCCCCGTTCGTTAGTTAATTTTCCGTAAAAATTCTTTCCGAAGAAACTTTTCCGATACAAGTCCTGTCTTAAATAAAGCTGGTTTATTCTTTCTGAATACAACTTTGCGATACACTTAATTTCCACAGTTGCGCTATAACAAACGCTATAATTCACAACGAATGCCTCACGTGCTCGACTCAACAATATGTCTGTCTGTCCGCAGTTCAATTACACATTATTCCCTCGCTTCTTGGCTGGTCTTATATATGTAAGACTACCCCATATCTAGTAGTCTCCTGACGCTTCATGAGCGTTCTAAAAGCTCGTGGCATGTTACTAGCGACACGTGACCTCCGTGGTTGTAACAATATTAATTAGATGTTTGTTAGGAATAACAAGATCAATAAGAATATTAGACCTATTTCACTAGCTCAGAATTTTAAAATTTCCTCTAAAAACCACTTGTAATAATCTATTAAACTTCTAATTTTTCAATCTTCTTCTTCATTTTAAAATGCTGCTGGTTGTGCTAACTACAGTAATTTTAAAATGTAAATAACCACAACTTGTTAACTCTTGAAACTGCTCAAGTAAAATGTGTTTATTGAAAATTTCCCTAAAAGAAATATTATCTTTCTTTCATATAATTAATATTTATAGCTTCTTTATGCCCCTTCACAAAATAATTCAAGCCAATTGTTCACACAAACGATATTTTAAACAACAAATACTCAAAGTTGTCAATCTCATGGCATTTTGTTACTTGTTCATAAACAGTTTTGGTAGAATGACTTGTTTATTTAACAAAACTTATTTCACAAAAACTCAGAAAATATTCTCCTGTAACCCTTACTTAAATCAGACATCTGCAGTTTCAAGGAGCCTAAGGAAATAATGTAAGTGGTATAAAAAAAAATTCATCACTGTGATACATCTACATGTACAGCATTTTGACATCTGACCACATTTTTTTACACCACTTCTAATCATTTAACCCACAAATTAAAAAAAATTCACTTACTCTTAAAGAGAACACAACTTCATGGTGAGGAAAAAGGCGTTCTGCACGGTCAGCCCAATACTAGGTTAAAAAACAATCAAGTTTTACCTAAAAACTAACTCTTTCAATTCACTTGTTTGTTTTACACTATCAATAAGGCATCTCATCCAAAATTTACATTCTAATTCTATAATAAAAGGAAAATTTTCTGATGACTATGACTATATAGAATTTCATGTGAATAATCTTAACTTTTTTGTTAAAATCAGTGACACGAGATTCTTATACACTAACAAATATAAAATGTAAGAGAAGATAAAGCTTACCCGAGCTGTTTCAGGATCAACTGGTAGTTTTGTGTAAAGTTCACAGACTGTAATTTAAAAGGAAAAGTTAGTAAAACAAAAATTTAGCTGTATTTTTGCTTCTTAATAAATAATAATAATTTAAAAAATTCCTTAAAACATAAAATAGTTCTTGCAACAAAGTATTTTAAATTTACAATATAACTTGTAAAGGTAATTGAAATTTTAATCAAAATACCAAAAATAAATTTCATACAAAAACAAGAAAAGAAGGTAATTCACTGTAATAAATATTTAAAGACCTTCACATATGGCAGTAAATTACAGAGTTATTTGCATTTTATAAGAACAATTTGCATATAATGATGAAGCTGCAGTGTTACCAGAGATGCGAGATGTGGTATGGGTGATCTGTTTAACACCTATATATTTATTTCACAGGGAATAGTTGACCATCTAACAGTGCAATGTCTACAGGTTAGACTTATGACTGGTATATGTCACACCCTTTTCCTATGAGAAGTATTTCTTTTGTCAGATTATTAAGTAGTGTATAGCTAAAGAGCACAACATTGCAAAAACAAAAAAATTGAAGCTTTCGAAGTTCTTGGAGAAAATGTTGCACAGCAAAGTGTTTAGATAGAAATGGTATATCAAACCATAACCCAAACAATTTCTTCAACTAACAAGTGAAGGTTATGATTATGAAATACATTCAGAGAAGCTGGGTATATTTCTTTGGACTATTAACAATAATTTAAAGGGGATGAAGGATCATAAGCTTCCAGCCACACCTCAAACTCAACAACTACTTTTAGGAAGAAAGTAGACAAAAACTGAAATCACAACAATCCCTCTGACCACATACTTGTCAAGTTCCAAATACAGCTCCAATGAATTTTTATTCCTATAGTATACTTAAACTTAAAATACTAATATTATTGAACACATGAGCTTTTCAACTCTTTCCATACAGGGTCAGTCTATGTGACCATCCTTGTAACCACAAAGTAACCATCATAGTTATCATATTATAACTTATATCTTTTGTGCATCTTCACAAAATTTTGCAAATTTTCAGAAAATATTATAATTCTTTTGTACACAAAAAATTAGATTGTTTAAACAAGTATTTTTACTAAAGATTTGTCTGTGGATAAATGGAATCTGAGTGTTGATTGCTCTGAACAACAAGAGGTTTTTTGTTAAGATTAAAAATACTTTTCGTCATCTGGAAATTTTCAAATTTCTTTTGCTTAACCTCTAAAACTTCCTAAATATCCAAATTTTTTTTCAATAAAACTTTATATTTTTATGTTATTTTCTCTACCCAGACTTGGTCGAATTGACAGACCTTGTAACCACCATAAAAAAAAATACAGAAAAAATCTAAATTACCCTTTTTATTCCTTTCTAGAATGACTGCAGATTATAACCAAAAAACAACAATTGTATGTTCCAAATGATTTAAGGCTCATAACAGTCCACATCTGTTTATACTTAATTACATTGTTTTATTGTTCTTTGAACCATGTCTAACTAACATCATGCAAGTTGTAAGTCACTTGGTGAAGGTGTAGCTCATGTTACTGTGTAAATGATGTAACACATGAGCTGCTTGCAAGCATACCCTATGAAGAATTGTTATTACTTTTTTTTTCTCAATATCTAACCCATCTAACCTTATCTGGCCTAATAAGTTTCAAATTTTTTCATTTTAGTTACTTTTATAACAATAAGTAAAAAATATACATGAAAAACAAGAAATACAGTACTTATGTTTGATCTCTTGCTTTTAATTTGAAACATAATTTTTAACTACTTAAATAATACACCTAAGAACACAAAGCAAACAATGTCCTATTATACTTTAACCGGCTTTCTAACTAAGACAAGAGAGCTTAAATTAATTTCCTCAGCTACTAGATTTGAACAACACAAGATAAACTTTCAAACTGAAGATGAAACTGACAACATATTGTACTTAAAACAATGTAACATTATACATCATTTGATAGATTAAAACTTTGCCTATCTCATAACAAGAGAGAGAATGTGACAGTTGGGCATGGCAAGTGGTCTTGATTTTCTACTTTATGACTCCATAAACAAATAAGACTGAAGGCTATAAAAGGTAGACTTTGCTAATATCTATATTATAATGATTAATTTATTAAATTCTGTACTTCCAAGAGGGGTGGTAAAAAATTAGAGAAGACAGAACACCTAGAGAACAAATGTCATAATTCTGATACCAGGATAAATTGAGGATGTTTTAATTATTCCATTACAAAACTAAGAACTTAAAACTTATGTTATAATTTGACTTATTAACTATGTTTTGATATCATGTTTATTTGTATACATTGATAATAAAGTAGTTCAATTAAAATTTGAATATGACTCTATAAAAGGTTGTGACATACGTACTTTGACTTACCAGTTGAAAAAGGATTAAACACATTTTTTTAAACTATTTATGCACACAATTGTTTGTAGATTCATGGCTTTGTTGGTTATAATGAATGATTCCTTTAAACAATGTAAATAAAAATTTATGAATACAGCAATTAATCCACTAATTACTGCTGGGGTTCTTTATGTATTTTCATAAAAAATGTATGATTCAGCCCAATTCTTTTTGGTCAATTATTTACCATGAATACTGTAACAACTAAAAACATGAAAGAATTCAATATGATTCAATACTTGCACCCCACCAGTAGTGAAGAGTATAAAAATAAATTAGTAACTTGAAGGTGAAATGTGTTCTTGGAAGCCAAATTTTACTATGATACAGAACCTTTTTCAAGATGTAGTGTTTATTAATGACCCTGTCATCCTTCACAGAATCTTGTCACAATGATAACTGCAGTATCCAGAATAAGCAAGACCAATCATGAAGCTAGTTATTCCAAAGCAGCATGACATTTGGAACATTCTTTTTAAAAAACTGTAATTACCCCATAAGTCGTAATTAATTATTTCAATATGGGTTTGGTTATTTTGACCAACCTCTTAACCACCAGGTAACCATGAAAATATCCAAAATATTAAACATTTTAATGTGGTATGTTATCTTAACAAAATCTGACAAGCTTTTAGTAAACATTACAATCAGAATTTTTAATTAAACATTTTTACTAAAGATTTGTCAAAGAATATATAAAGTCAAAGTGTTGATTAGTCTGAGTGCAAGTTCATTTTCATGTTGAAATTAAGTTTATTTTTTCCTATCTTGCAGTTTTCAAATTTTATTTGAATAACCTCTGAAAACACAAAAATAAATCTTATGTTTTTTCAGTAAAACTATACGCATTGTTATTTTCTTTACCATAACTCTTGGACTTGGTAGATTTGTAATCAACATAAAAAAATATGAGATAAATCTAAATTACCCTTTTTCCTTTCTAGAATAACTGCAGATTGTAACATGAAACTATAGTTTTTATCCTAAATAGCTTATGGCTGGTAACTATTTATGTCTGTTTCTGCTTAATTTTATTGTTTTATTGAACTTTGAACTGTAATTATTAATCTCATAATACAAGCTGTATATCACACAGTAAACATGTAGCTCAAGTTACCATACTGAATGACGTAACTCGTGAGTATACCTCATGGAGAAATACTATTATTATTTTTCATTATGTAACCTAACTTCATCTTTAGTTACCTTTATAACAGTAAGTAAAACAAATACATAAAAAATTTAGTACTTATGTTTGGCCTCTTTTTTTTGCTGTCAGACTGCTGATTAAACTTAAAGCTACTTTCTTTTTATAATGATGTACTTGTACATAGAATAATTTTTATTCATTTCAAGTATGCACTTAAGAATACAAAATAGCAACATACACAAAGTGACAGCACCCTATAACTATTATAATTTAAATGGCTTTTAATTAAAGTATAAGTGCCTTAAAATAATTCCCTTAGCTACTTGATCTGCACCTAGTGATAGCAAATTAAACTGTGGGTGAAATAACTAAAACTATCTACTGAGAATAGGGTAGCATTATGTGTCATTCAGTAAATTAAAGCTTTGTCTTTCTGTTCATAATAAATGACATAATGGCAAATATGAGAGTTATTGGCAATTTGTGAAAGAGAGAATATGATAGGTGGGCATGACTTTCTAGTTTTATATCTCTGTAAACAAAGACTGAAGTCTGTAGAAATTCAACTATGTCTTAGTAATGTCTATACTGTATTGAGTAATTTACGTTAAAACTCAGAATATTGAGAGGGGTGGTGAAAAGAGAGGATGGATAAATGGAAGCAAATAAATGTCACAGCATACACATACAAAAGGAGAGTAATAATTTATTTAAATATTTCCTTTTAAAATTTAGAAAATAGAACTTAAATAACATTAGAACTTGATTTATTAATTATGTTTTGAGCATAATTCTGTAAAAAGTTGTGATACGGGTATTTTGACTTACCCATGGCAAGAGGATTAAAACCATAAAACGTTCTTACTACTCATTAATAATTCAAACTAAGGACAAGAAATCATAATTTGTATTCCTCAATTTATGATAAAAATTATCAAAAGAACGTTATATATATTTTCACCCACATCATTTTTTTTAACATAAAAAAATTCTGGATATTAAGAATAAAATTAGCAAAAACTGAAAGATAAATTATCAATGCCTTTGTTTGAAAAATAAATACTGAAAAGACAGCAGAGAATATAGGTATTATGACTTTAAAGCAAAGAAAATTGAACCCTCCAAAATTTCTCTGTTTCTAAAATGCAGAATAGTTTTTGTTTGTACTGTGCCTACTGCAGGTATTAAAACTCAATTTTTGGTGTTATAAGCCTTCAAACTTACCATTGAGCCAAAAGAGGAGCAAAATGCCCAACAAAAAATAATTTTGAGAAAAAGCTGCAATAAAGCATTTTACTTGTAAAATACCATTACAGTAAGAATATATCTCTTTTTAAACATCAGTCCTATTTCTTTACTCTTGGGAAATATGACATTGTTATAAACATAGCACTACAGTTATAACTAGTAGTCCATGGTATTTGAAGAAAAATGGAAAAATTAATCTAAATTTTCTTTGAACCATTTCTCAAAAAATAATGTAAATAGACCTACATTAAATGTATAGAAAACAAATTTCGAACTGGGCACATTATACTGATTTATAACACATACTCAACTTTTAGTGGTCAAAAGGAGGACCATATAAATATAGTGTATATAATATTTTAATAAATTTGTATACTTACTCTTTAATACAACATCCTTTTGGTTTTCTTCCAACTCTAATGATCTGTCAAAAAATTCAAATAAAAGCGTCTGAGTGTATGGAACATCAGAACTTAAAAAATTACACATAAAAAGTTATGTATTTCAGTACAAATCAAAAATCAGAAACACTAATGTGTCCTCCTGCTAATAGTATAAGTACATCCTGTCATGTTATGCAAAAACCATCTTTACAATGAATGTTAAGTTTTATTTTGGCTGTACTATTCCAATGAACACTTAACTCCCCTTCCTGATAAACCAGATAAATGCTCACAGTGGTCACCAGAAAACTGGGTCTGCTTGGACTTTTCACAAACTTTAATGTTTTCAGAGCTTTTTTTTTTTGGAGCATGTGACCGTTTCTCTTATATGTATATATAGTACAATATATGAACAAAATTATCATATGCCCTATAGTTAAACCAAGTTTGAAGCCACAAAAAAATTATGGCACATGGTATATACATGCATGTGATTTGACTACCTTGACAAATAACATCCCAAAAAGGGAGGTATTGACTTTTGGAAAACATAACATCATAACTCACACTTTTTTGGGAGAATAACTCTTACAGGTACACACTTTAACCTCAATTTTTTTATTGTACAGTGTTGAGAGTTAAATATCAGCATATTACTAAATTTGCTACTTTTTTTCAAGGGTTGTTATAAAGGTTTAGCTAAAATTGCTTTAAATAACAATTTTCATATATACCAGCCCGTGAAAGAATGCCTGGTGTCAAATGTGGTCAACATTTTACAATTTTATTTATAGCTACTGGGTAATAGTTGAATTTTACTACATAGCAAAACAATGCACTATTTTTGTTTTTAAAACCGTCGAAAAATCATAGATTAGTAGTTTGTTAATTTTATATGCCTAAAACTTTGAAGGAATCATATCCTACCCCTAAGTGTCTCAACAAAAACGTGTTGCCAAATTATCAAACTATGAATCACGTGTACTATAAGCAAGAAAATGTACACATGGGTTATGATACTTATATTAACAAGTTTAATAATATCTCTACAACTTGAATAAATTTCAAAACTTTTCATCTAGAAATCACAGAAAAGAACTAACAAACTTGAGACATACTTTTTAAAAGACTGTAGTGCTCTCTCCAGGTTACTGCAAGATTCACATATCTGGCCCATCAGTTTGTGACCTGCTGCGTGATTTTCACGAACACTGAGGAACCCTGCCAAGTACCTGAAAATATGTATCACATCTTACTTTTTTGGTTCTAAGACCTCAAAACCTCTGAAATTCAACTAGTATAATCAACATATCAGAAGTCGACAGAATGTCTCAGAATTTACAAGACCAGCAAAGTATTGAAATATACCATTATTATATTTTTCTGGAAGCCTGGTCAGTGTATACATAGATGGCCTACAAGTGCACATTAGCTACATAATTAACCTATTAAACATGGATAGTTGTTGATCAATCTAGAACTATAAACTGATGATGTCAGCACACTAACAACAACATTTGGACGTTTCCATAGTGTAGAAAACAAAGGTTGAACTTTATGCTATATGACCAATGATGTTAATTCCTCTAAACTATCACCACAAAACAGCTTACCTTCACTGATGTGAGGAAGACCTAAGTAGTCTTGATCACAGTTGAATTATGCTTCACAATGTATTCAGACACAAGAGATATATGCATCTGAAGTGTGGCTGGAACCAGAACCAATATTAATTTCATGAAGATGTAGTGGCCTAATGATCTGACCAAACTGGTTTTTTGTGCTAGTCACAGCACCATAAGTGCCATAAATAGTAATACAATAAATGGATATGGATAAGCATGATTACAACTCTTAATATTTCCATGAGTCAGAATTGATCAGAACTTTCTTTTAATGAATGATAATGTGCAGCTCCACTGTATTTAACCACAGTAAAGCACGTCTGTTAACTGCACATCATTCCATAGCTTCACACATAGCTTATAATGTCCAAATAGTTATCAAATATTTCTTAAGAAAAAACTTTATACCTTATCTGTTATTTCCTGTAATTAATCTCTGTACAAGTTCGGTAAATTTGACCGATTTCGCAAACACCATAAAAAATTAGGAAATAAACATAAATTATGCCTCTTTCATTCTAGAATG